CGGGCCTGTCGGGAGCACTGCAGGCTTGTCAGGGGCACCACAGTCCTGCCAGGACCCAGGGGCACCAGCGGCCTAGCAGGAGCACCACAGGCCCGCCAGGGGCACCACAGGCCTGCCAGGGGCACCACAAACCTAGCAATGGCACCACAGACCTGTCAGGGGCTCCACAAGCCTGTCAGGGGCACCTCAGGCTTGTCAGGGTCCAGGGGCACCACAGTCCTTCCAGGGACACCACAGGCCCATCAGGCCTATGGTGTCCCCTCAGGAGCACCAGAGGCCTAATAGGGGCACCACAGGCCTGCCAGCGGCACCAACGGCCTCGCCAATGAGACGTTGCAAAGCATTGCAATGCAGTGCCTCTTAATATTGTTTGGCTGAGACCGCTATACAGTATACACAATAAGGTATCTAGCTAAATCGGTTTTCGTGATAACTCCTTATTTGTGACTATGCCAATGCCGGTTGGGTCATTTATGACCCATACTTATAACTTGAGAACCGATGGAACAATTTTTTTTAAGCTTGCACAGTTTTCTTACTGGGACCCGTGTGGCTAACATTTGTTAAGGACAACTAAAGAATCAAAAAATAAAAATTCCGGCATTAATGGGTTAAGAAACGCGACGAACAAAAAAGCGGATAGCTAACAGTCGGCATTCTGGCGACCGGATGTCACAGCGGTCCAGGTAGAGGATTTTCCGTTCACCATGACCCGCTGCCGTCCGCCCTGCAGATATGAGGCAAACCAATGATAAACCGTGCCAGTTACAAGGCAGCAGTGCTGAACTGTATCTCTAGCAGCAGAGTGGTTAACGCCTGGTTGGTTCGTCGGTTGCGGGCCCACGGACTGGGCCACTGCCCAGTAAGTGGTTCGTTGTTTGGAATTCTTTCATGTTTGCTTCATGTAGTTTGCATGAGACTTACGCCAACCTAATAACAGATATGTGGCCGAAAATATTGTGTTCATTTTTAATTAAATACTGAGTTAGAGTACTTCGTTTGTCATGTGACATCCGTGGCGGGTCGAAGACGAGATTTGGCGCTCACTTTCAACCTGGTTGTCTGATCTTGCAAGCCCCTTTTATCGACTATCTTGGTCACTGCGCTGCTGTGCAAGGTATTTTCTTTCATGGGCCGGGAGAAAAGCATCGCTGGACGACATTTTCGTATTAAATGACTATGTTAATGATGTTCTCTTTTATCCCTCGCCGGCCGAGGGGGGGGGGCGGGTGCCGCCCCCCCATAGGGTTTTTTTCGCGATAGCTCCGAACACGCTGGCGATAGAAAGCTGAAACTTGGCATACCTGACCTTTGATCCAAGCCGCATCTTTTGACACCAACCGCATTTTTGGGTCAGGTCAGGTCACTGACCTATGACGTCATAAGTGAACCTCTGCACGGTCTTCAGATGTCGCAACTTCGCAACGCCCTCACTGCCAGAGGAGATGTCACAGGGAAATGACACTTGCAGGATCTAGTATCCATTATGAGTCCCACAACTTGTATATCTCGGATTTTTCCTAAAGGTCATATGAGGTCAGGTCATTTTCGTGACCTCACCATTATAAGTCAATGGGGAAAAATGAAAACTGCTATTCTGGCGCCGGGAACGATCTCCAACTATCTCAAGCACACAGAATCGTGATTTGATGCACTCCTTGCAAGGTTAGATGCGTCACTTTTGCAATGTTGACCTTGCGTGACGTCATTTATGACGTCATCAAGGTCATATTAGTTTTTCGTCAATAACTCTTGATCAAATTGAGCTAGCGAGTCGGGAAAGCCACCAATGGACTCAGGAAGACCTGCCGAATCGAATGATATGCGACATGACCTCTTTCAACCAACTTCGTGACCTGGGGGTGCTGACCTGACCTTGACCTGAGGTCAACACCCCAAGTTGACCTGACCCGGACAAAAAGTATATCATTCGACGCGCCTGAGCGAGACGAACACGATGCTGCCAAAATCGGCGCTCTGCGGCCGTTTTTTGCGAAGTTATTCACCAAAAACTGAACCGTACCTTGGGGCACTTGACCTGACCTCAGAGGTCACCGGTTGACCTAGGACCTTAAAATCGGGTACCAATCTCTGCGTCTCGTAACGGCGCACACGCTCGTTTTTTCCGCGACGCGCTAGCTCCACCAGGGGCGAAACGGCGAGGGGGGTCGTACCCGCCCCCCCCCCCCCCTCGGCCGGCGCGTATGTAGAAAACCAATAGGTCCGGCGAGGGTTATATCATTTTTGAAGCACGCAAGCAAATCTCATGCTGTTTTGAATTTCAAGAACGTGACGTTTTGAGCTAGACACCTTAGATTATTCGGAACATGTCTCGATCACCCAACAGTACTTCAAAACTGAGGAGTTTGATGCATGAAAACATTCGATAAAATGAATCTGACTTTCTGCCTGCACTGCTATTAGCGTTATGAGCGACGAAACACTTATCTCACCAGAGGATGGACGCGCAACAATGGGTGGAAGCACACCTCGCTGTTGCAAGTGCGTATCTAACCCGTGTAGAACCTGCCGCTGCGTGAAACTGGGAAGACGGTGTGCCACCTGTCGATTCGGAGACAACTGTCCGAATTCAGTAACGAAGCTCACACAATTATGCGACATTGCTACAGAAATCGCTACTTTGAAGCAAAACAGTCGGGTTCTACCGCACATCCCAAAAGGAGCGCGTATCGCGGTAGCAGACGAGCTTGCTCACCTTATCAACGACGCTGTCGAACAGGGCACTGAGGAAGCGTGGCGCAGGCTCACGTGCTTTGGATACTCTACGCTCAGTATCAACAGAGAAGCGCGAACAGCAGAAAAGACCTCTTTGGCCACACAAGTGCGCCTAAACCTATCACAGAACAGTGACACCAACAAGGTCCGTCCTTCCAAACCATCCAAACGCTCACATGCACATCGCCCGGTGGGCGAGATGACAGCGATGTCACGACGCGTGGCCTCAAAACTGACGGACGGCGATACCCGGGGAGCGCTACGAGCTCTGACCTCAGATGACTCCTTCGCATCTCCAACAGAAGAAATCATCAAAAGGATGCAAGAAAAGCACCCAGAACCGCCCACTGACCTGCGAAACGTTCCGCCACCTGACGACATCCACGTGCCGTTAGTGGCTTCCGAGGCCGACGTTTTGAAGGCGATCAACTCCTTTCCGCCGAGCTCCAGTGCAGGTTTGGATGGGACTCGCCCCGCCCACCTGCGCTCCCTCCTCACTAAACACACCGCCGAGGCTGGAGCTCGCCTACTCACAGCTCTGACAGCGCTCACGAACTTGGCGCTCAGCGGCCGTCTTCCGGAATGCGCAACACCAGCTTTCTTTGGCGCGTGAGGCGCCAAAGAAAGCTGGTGCGTCGTTGATTGCTCTTCGAAAGAAGGACGGCGGCCTGCGTCCCATCGCTGTCGGCAGTGTGTATCGCCGAATCGCAGGCAAGGTCGCCGCCACGGCCGTCTCGGCGGCCATCGGAGCTCAGCTGCGACCAGTACAGCTTGGTGTGGCCACGAGGAACGGCTGCGAGGCGGCAGTACACGCCACCAGAGCATACATCGACGAATGCGAAGCGTCCGAAAACAGCAGAGTTATCGTGAAGCTGACATCTCCAATGCCTTCAACACCGTGCGCAGAGATGCGATGCTGAAAGCTGTGAAAACTCGTGCGCCAGAGATATACCCGTTTGTATGGCAGGGCTACAACAACGCCGCGCCACTTTTCATCGGCGACAGTAAAATCCTTTCTCAGACAGGAGTCCAGCAAGGCGATCCGTTGAGCTCCCTGCTGTTCTCTCTGACAATGGATTCTGCCACCAGGGCTCCAGACACAGAAATAAACACCTGGTACCTGGATGATGGAACGCTGGCTGGCCCACCATCTGACGTCATCTCCAGTATCAAACAAGTGAAGGCAGAAATGAGCGAAGTGGGGCTCGCCATAAACGCAGGAAAGTGTGAAGTCACCTTCCTGGGAGGCTTCACCGACGATACCAAGCTCAGCGCCCTGCACATGCTGCAAAGTGTTCTTCCCGACATCCGGGAAGTCCCCGTGGATGAGTTAGAGCTGCTTGGTGCGCCTGTACATGACGCTCAAACAAGACGTGCGCTTCTACAAGGCCAGCTCCTGGTAGAGAAGCTTATCAAGCGCCTTCAGGCTCTGGACGAGGCACATCAGGCGTTCTTCCTACTGAAGAACTACGTGTCCCTTCCTCGCCTGTTGTACCTTCTTCGAAGCTCTCCAGCCTACCGCCACCCCGCCCTGCTCAACAGGATTGACGAAGCAGTTCGCCGTGGCATTGAAGTGATCACAAACGTCCAACTGCGTGACATTTCATGGCGACAAGCGACATTGCCAATCAGCCTCGGTGGGCTAGGCGTAAGGAGAGTAACAGACGTTGCCCTTCCTGCTCACCTCGCATCTCAAGTAGCATCCGCTGACACGATCGCATCCATTAACGGCTCCGCCGCTAATCGCGTCAGTGAGCTAACGAGGTGCTTGATCTCAGAGTGGGAGCGTCGCACAGGCTTGCCTCCACCGGAAGCGCACAGGCGGCGCTACCAAAGAGAATGGGATCGAGCTGAGACAGCAAGAATCAGCGAACGGCTGCTGGAAGACAGCAAAACCGATGTTGACCGAGCCCGACTCCGAGCTGCCGCACAACCACACTCTGGTGCCTGGCTGAACGCCTTCCCAGCCGCCAGCGTGGGCACGCTGCTCGACCCTGACACCCTGCGGACGGCCGTCGCCCTGCGGGTGGGAGCAGATATATGTGCTCCTCACCGCTGCCGCTGTGGAGCCGACATTGACGAGCGAGGCCTGCACTGCCTGTGCTGCCAGATGAGTGCTGGCCGGTTCCCACGCCATGCGGAACTCAACAGCGTCATCAAGCGTGGACTATCAACCGCTGGAATGACGTCTGTTCTCGAGCCGGCCGGCTTAGACCGCGGAGACGGACGTCGCCCTGACGGCATGACAACCTTCCCCTATGCAGAAGGGAAGTGCCTCGTCTGGGACGCTACCTGCGTCGACACGTTCAGCGCTTCGTCAGTCAAGGCATCCGCGGCCCGTGCGAGCTCAGCTGCAACCGTCGCCGAGAGGCGTAAGCGCCATCGCTATGCCGACATAAGTCGACGCTATCTGTTCCGCCCTGTCGCCGTAGAGACATCCGGAGCGCTCGGCCCGGACAGTTACTCCTTCTTGAAGGAGCTCGGCCGCCGTATTGTGAAGACCACAGGAGACCGACGGGACTTTGAACGCCTCATGCAGCGCGTGTCTGTGGCGGTGGTGCGCGGCAACGCCACAGCCGTTCGACTTGCGAGCGTCAATGTAAGGCCGAGTCACAGAGCCAACATTGAGCCAAAATCACTTCCATGGCCACCCACAAACTCAACTGGCACCGAAGCAAAGCTCCCACCGGAGCTACCAACCACCACGTCTCCTACGACCAGACCAGCAGAACAGGAGATACTGGATCCATTGAACATGGGACTTCCCAACAATGGTATAAGCATGTGCCAGCACGTGGGCAAGAGCGTCAGTCTGGCTGACATTAAGCGGCAGCTGAAGTCGAACCGGCGGATCGGCGCCTGCGACAAGAAGGGGCCGACCCCGTGCACGGCACCCGCGGATGGGGAGGAGCGGTCGGTGCCGTCGGGCGCGCAGCTGCCGCACGGCGTCTGGCTGTGTATGCAGTGCGGCCACCAGGGTTGCGCGAGGCACGCCACGCAGCACTTTAACACGCCGCGCTTCGACTCGCACACGCTGGCCGTCAATGCCGCCGCCGACTGGGGCGTTTGGTGTTTCACATGTAACGAGAAAGTGTCACTGAAGAGTAATAAGAAACTTCACGAAGCTGTGCAGTTTGTCAAGAAAAAGCAGGGAACTCTACGTCCCGGGGCCACGCCATCCAAGGAGGACACTCCGCCTCCCAAGTCTTCCAAGGGCGCCTCCGCTAAGGAGAAACAGGCTCAAGCGGACTGTGATAACGAGTCACTTCCGAAGGTCAAGGGTCTGATCAACCTGGGCAACTCGTGTTACCTGAACTCGGTGCAGCAGTGTCTGAGCCAGTGCCACTACCTGACGCACTACCTAGACATCAGCAGCCGCCCAGGACGAAAGGTCACAGTCAGCGCTGACGGCGAGACCATGGAGCTGGTGCTGCCGCAGGGCGGGCCCATCACCGCCTCGCTGTGCGACTTTCTCAAGAAGATGCACATCACGGGCACCGGCTCCACCGTCTCCCCCAGTCATCTGCTCAGAAAGATCGCCCTGAAGGTGCCCCAGTTTGTGGGCTGCGACCAGCAGGACGCACACGAGCTGCTGCGAGCGCTCATGGAGCAGGCGCGGCTTGAGGATCTCCGGCGGCACCAGAAGCAGATCCTGCTCGGCCTGGGGCTGCCGGCCAAGGCCGACCCCAAGGAAGTACCCGACGACATGAAGGCGCGTGCCAAGGCGCTGGGCCACCAGGTATCGCATACGACCATCGACTCCATCTTCAGCGGCCAGCTGGTCAGCCTGGTGGTGTGTCAGGCCTGCATGGCCTGCACACACCGCATGGAGCCCTTCCTCGACCTCTCGCTGCCCGCCGCCGAAGATATCATCTTCAGCCTGCTGTCGGAGCTCGACCCGCCGCCGGCCTCGGTCAGTGGGGATTCGACGGAAGACGAGCTGAACGAACCGCCGGCCTCAGTCAGTCCGGACCCGCCGGCTGACGAGCCGCCCGCCTCGGTCAGCCCCTACCCGCCGGCTGACGAGCCGCCTGCCTCGGTCAGCCCCGACCCGCCGGCCGACCTGGCCGCGGAGGAGCTCTCGGAGCGGCTCAGCGCGCTGATTGTGGACAGCGCCGGCGCCGCGGCCGCTGCGGACTCGTGTGGGGACGAGCCGGGCCCGCTGACGGTGAACGGCCGGCCGTCGTCACCGGTGGAGGCGGACGCGGCGCCGGCCGGGCTGGTGCCACTGGTCGGGGAGAGTGCTGACAAAGCCCCGAACGGTGCGCCGGAGACGGCGGGAGCGGACCAGGTGGGGGAGAAGCAGAGCTCTGTGCCGGCGGAGAACTGCGGAGAGGCTGTGGAGGCGCGTGAGAACAGTCTGGGCGCTCCGAACGGTCACTGCGGAAGGGCAGCCGAGGAGGCCCCGCGGGAGGGCCAGTCGCCGTCACCCGGTGAGGTGCCGGGCGGTGTGCCGACGGAGGCAGTGGCGAACGGCCAGAGCTCAACGGCAGGGGTGGCGGACGGCGGCGAACTCCAGTCGGCGCCGAACGGCGGGACCTGCGCGCCAACCGAGTCTGCCCCGGCCGAAGGGACGGGGACCCCCTCACCGGCGGCCGATCCCTCGGACGGCCCGCCGCCGCCGCTGAGCCGCTGTGAGTGGCTCAGTCGAGCGCTGACCACCCTGGCGCCGCGCTACCAGGCGGCCGCTGGCGAGTGCAGCCTGCTCACCTGCCTTAACCAGTACACGGCGCCCGAGCTGCTCACCGGCAACAACAAGCTCGGTTGCGACAACTGCACCGAGCTGCGCAATAAACGGCTCACGGCGGCTGAAAAAGCAGCTGAGAAGAAACTCGGCACAGTATACAGCAACGCCAGCAAGCAGCTGCTCATCTACAGTCCGCCGCCGGTGCTGACCATCCACCTGAAGCGGTTCGAGGTGTGCAGCTTCAGCCTGCGGAAGGTGAACCGGCACGTGCAGTTCGGCGAGCGGCTCGATCTGGCCCCCTTCTGTTCCTCCATCAGCCAGGACCTGCCTCAGATGCGGGCCGGCCAGCGGCGGGTGCTCTACTCGCTGTTTGGTGTCGTTGAGCACAGCGGTCGACTGACCAGCGGCCACTACACAGCCTACGTGCGCGTGCGCCGCCGTCACGACCAGCTCACCGTCAACCCTGCGCGACTCACCACACTCGTCACCGACGCGTTCGCCGTGGCGTGTGAGCGGGCGAGGCAGCGCGCCGAGCAGACCCGACCGGAGACCACGGACGGACCGTCCCCGGTCAGGCCCGCAGAGGAGGGCCGGGAAGACGGGGAGGGCGAGGACCCCGCCGCCGCGCCACAGGAGTCACAGACGGATCAAAAACAGCCCGCCCCGGAGCCCGAGACGGAGCCGGAGCCGCAGCCGGAGGCCGGGCGGTGGTTTTACGTGAGTGACACGCACGTCACAGAGGTGACTCTGGACAAGGTGCTCAAGGCGCAAGCTTACATGCTGTTCTACGAGCGAATTGTGTAAGCGACTGCGGTAGCTTGGGATGGTGCTCTGTGCACGGGGCTGTGACGGCGCGCGAATCGTGTCCCTCAGTCTGACCGAGGTGTGATTTCGGAAAGGTCGTTTTTGAATTTGCTTTAATGTGTGTTCATATGCTAATAAAATTCAGTGGGTTAACGCCTTGAAAGGCAGCTGCAAAATCCGTGTGGATGCTGTCAATTCGACTCCGGCTAAAATCAAATCCCGTCCAGTTTTTAAAAGGCTCTAGCTCGAGGAACTACGCCACTCAGCCGTACTGAGAGCTGATGGCCATCTAAAAATCACTGAATATTTCTGCTCACATCCTCAAAGTGAACATGCACAAACATTTTTTCTTACACATAAAAGGTTTTGAGTTAATACCTGTATTTTAGCTACAATGCATGGACGCCACCGCTTTTCGCCAGTTCCTCAGCCATAGGTATGCATCGTGCAGTCTGTTTGCGGGGACAGTGTTTCGTCAACGCTGAACCTCTGGCCCAATGCATCCAGTCCTTCATGCATATGAAAACAGACATCCGTCATTTTCTGTCCTCAGGACGAGCACATCCCCATCCCCGCTCAGACAGCGTCCTCTCCGAGCGGGGGCTATACCACTGACGGACGATATACCACTGACAGCACATCCCCATCCCCGCTCAGACAGCGTCCTCTCCGAGTGGGGGGATATATGTACCACTGACGAACGCTGGCGCAGGCTACATGATGACGCCCTCGGAATGCCAGCTGCCTCTGGTTGGGCTCATAATTCCGGCGTGGTGGTGACTGGATCGTCTCCGGGGCCCGTATTAGCCCCTGAGTGGCCCATAGAGCGGCCACTGTCGCCGCTGATTTCCGCACTGGGACGGCGCCGTTTGGAGACGGAAATGCCGCGGCTCGGTGACCGGCCGGCCCGCTACGAGCGACATCAGCCGCCGCCGACCGCCGGCGCTCCACTAGAGCGGCCCGTTCGGACCGGCTGCGGACGGCTCCCGGCCGCTCGGAGCCGTGCAGCGCCGGTCGTCAGCGGTGTGAATGGCGCAGAGAGTGGCTCTGGAACGGCCCCAAATAGCCACATCCCAGCGGAGATTATGGAGGATTCGCATCAGCAGCACACGGTTCCCTCAGCTCTTTAAACTAATGCTACCCAAAGTGAGTTTGTTTAAATCCTTTCCAAGTCATTATTTTATTGATTAGAGGTCAGTTTATCAACCAAAAATAGCCGGATCCAGTGAATTATGGGCCTAAGAACATAGACGTGGGACCGGGTCGGGGGGTGGGTAGCAGTGGGTGCAGCTGCCCCACAACTCTGGGGCCGTGGGGGCGCTGCCCCACAGCTTTTCGCAGGGCCAGGAGCCGTCGGGGCAGCTTGCCCTCCCCAAATTAGGGGTTTGGGTCACAAAGGAAAACTGAATGGTAGAAAACATTGAAGTAAAAACTCCTCCACTTTCCCTGGTTCGACAGCTTACATGTACCAAACAGATTTAAGCGAGTGTGCTCTGTTGCCGTCTCCGTGGTTGTCTGTTGCCTGTCTCAGTCTCTGTCTCCGTCCGGTGCCGGTCCCGTTTCTGTCTCCGCGGGTGTACGAGTGTGCTCCGTTGCCGTCTCCGCGGGTGTACGAGTGTGCTCCGTTGCCGTCTCCGCGGGTGTACGAGTGTGCTCCGTTTCTGTCTCCGCGGGTGTACGAGTGTGCTCCGTTGCCGTCTCCGCGGGTGTACGCGTGTGCTCCGTTTCTGTCTCCGCGGGTGTACGATTGTGCTCCGTTTCTGTCTCCGCGGGTCTGCCGCTGCGGTGTGGCTGGCGCCGGCCACAGCACACATCTCACATCGGTCGCATACCGTGCGGCGGTAAAACCATTACCAAGCCGGAGCCGGCCGTGGGAGCGGGCCGG